CGCGGAGGAGCGGAGGGCGAGCGGGGAGGCTCGCCTCCACCCGCCGCTCCTCCGCGCGCCCGCCCCCACCACCGCTCTCTGTATCCGGTTTTGTTCTTCTTAGTTCCGGGCAGCGCTCCATTGAAATGCCATATTACTCCAGTGATGATCAAAAAGTTTCGCGTCGATCTGTTTGTCTCTCTGTCTGTACGCACGATAACTCTACAACGGTGTGAGACAGAAGGCTCTTATTTTTATTGTTACTGTGTATCATAAAAAGAAAGAACTGTATTGATTTTGAGCCCTCTGGCTTAAAAATTGACGTGTCAAAAAAATAAAAAACAAAAAGCCTAAAACATTTCTTTTAACAAATATTTTTATACATCTTTCGTAGAGGTAACACGTAAAAGTAGATCCCTCTGCATCAAAATTGTGTCCGTTTGGCTCTATCTCTAACCGTTTAAGCGCCAGAGGGCGTTTTTCACACGGAAATGACCCCGAAACATTTTGATTTTTCTCAGATATTTGATGGACTCTGGTGGGGTTACACGTCAAAATAAAACCCCAAGGAGAAAATATGTGACTTTTGGGGCCGAAGGCCCATTAACCTCTCTGCCTTGTGGCCGACTCCGGTGTCAGCGCCGCAGGCCTAGGTAGATGTATGCCAGGCGCGTCGCAGCGTAACAGTGTTTCGTGAGCTATCGCGAAGTCTGTTACGCGAGACGTTGTCTGGCGTACATCTACCTAATATTCCAGTGATGATCAAAAAGTTTCGCGTCTGTTCGTGTGTCTGTCTGTGCGCAGGATAACGCGAGAACGAATAGAGCGTTCCGGTAAAGCTGAAATACAGAAGAATGCGGGGAACAAGAAAACGGAAGTCACTATAATAAAGAATAGCGATTTCCGTTTCCTTCTTCCCCGCATTGTTCTGCATTTCAGCTTTACCGGAATCAGGGGGTAGAAAGCGCTCCGGGCGTCCACCATGCGCGCCCCAGGCCGCGCGTGAGCCGATCCGTGCACTCCCTGTTTCTTCTCACTTTTTAACATGGTTTGATAGTTGGGCAAACCGCAACAGTAGTATCGGTCGAAAGGGGAAAGTTCAAACTTTACAAAGGTACTACTAAAATCCACCTCCGACCTCATTCCATCGAGAAAATTTGATTTTAGTGAACTGGCAGGCCGCCCGAGGACCCACCTGCGCGCAAACGAAACAAATTTCCACGAAATAGGCGCAACTCCATTCGAAAGCGAGTGTAGCCCTAAAAAGATTAATAAACGACCTCTTGGCTGGGATCGGAGTCCCTTCCTGTCAGATCGTAGCCTAGATTTTATAAATATACGGAGATGTAAACCGGCAGCCGTTTTGGTTTCGCAACTTTACTTTACATTTTAAAAATACCCAAGTGCTTACAGCGAAGCAGGAGGTGGCCTATGCTGAGCAACGTTTTATGAGCTTTACAATGCCGTTCGAGGTTTTATTCCAAACTAACGCCGATTCAGTTAAAATTTGAGATTTACTCAGGAGTGCGTGATAACCTCCGGAGGTGCCTCCGACATTGAGATCGTTCACACATGAAAACAACGTACCTCTGGTATAAAATATCAAGAGTCCGTGTTGGCAGAGGTTATGGTCCACCGTGCAATAATATGAGCACAAACTGACAACCAGCAACGGTAAATAACTAAATATAAACTTCTGTCACTGACGCTGTTGTTGTGATCCAGCAGAAGCGTAGTCACGGTGTTGCCCCGTTACTGTCTTTTGTCATGTCCAAGTAGTAAATCTTTAGGGCCGCAGGTCCGGGGCCGGAAGCCTTAGTTTACTCAAATATGCAAAGTGACTTACAAGTCACATTATTTGATTATGTTCTTCAGTAAATCGCGCGACTGAAATGGTCGGGCCGCAGGACTGACCATCGCCGCCGGCAGGCCAAGCAGGCCCGGCCCCTGCCGAACGGAGATGCCGGCATAGCGAACCCAGTCAGAAATGGGTGCTCGAATCGACGTCGACGCGACGTCGATTGAGATGTCGAGGAGTCGTCGATCCAGTTCGTCGATTCGATGACTATGTGTCACCCAAATCGACGTAATTATCGAGATCGAACGAATCGACGTGTTATCGACGTCGACCAAAAATAGAAAAAATCGATGTCATATGCTAAGACTTAATTTGAAATGTCTCGCTGACGTGCAGCAATCTTTAAGGTGCGACTGCCGTGTGGCACTAAATAAATAAACCCAAGAGTAAGTGTAGGTCAAGTGTTTTTATTCAAACCACATAATTCATTAATTCACTGCAATGAATGAGAATTAAAAAAATATTTGTACTGTGGTGATAAACTTTACACCAAAAGTTTTACATTTTCAACATCAAAAAAAGGGAAGCATAAGTTTATGACAATAAACAAAAATTCAATACTTGAACAAACAATGCTTGTACCCTATGGAGCAGGAAGAATTGTGAAGTTGAAAAGCACTAATAACAAAACAAAAACATCCTTTAACAAAACTAGTCCTTAAAATAATTTGAATATTTTACTGAGATCAATAATGTAGAAAAAGACTAGAAATAAAGAAAACTAATAAAAACTTGATTCAGCTCCTCCCCTCAGGCTAGCCCTACTGAGATCAGTTGAAGAACAAAACTGATGTTAAACATGCCTCACAAATGACGAATTTTGTTTAATTCTGTTGGGCAACATCAAAATTCTTATTTAACAAAAAAGAAAATTTTCAGTTCATGGAGATAGAGAACAAAAATGAAATCGACTAGCTACAATGAAAATTAAGATACTTATAAAGTTTATTCTGAATCATCTAGCTCGTAAGAATTTGAGGCCCCAGCTTTCTTCTGCCTCTTCCTTGGCCTATTTTTCTCAGCTTGCTTTTGATAGGTATCAGCTGAGCTATCAGATTGCTTTGACTTCCGAGAACGGGCTGTGGTTCCATCTGTTTGGGTTCTATATTCGGCATCTTTCAACCAGTCTTTGACTGCTTGAATTGTCTCTGTCAAGTCCGTTGACTCAAGTTTCATAGCAATGGCACCTATCATGAATTAGATTAAATTAGATTCAATTTGGAGACAAAAGGAAGAGGTAAGATCAGAATGAAAAAAATAAAAATACTAGCCTTTAATAACATCCCACAGTTTGAGTTCACTGAAGTTTCTCTTCCCCCGCCTTCCAAGAAAGCTGAAGTATTTGGCAACGGAATTAGAGAGGAGTCGGTTGAGTGTCTTATCCGCTGATTTTCTTTCAAGTTCTGGTTTCTTGGAAACGCTAGTGCTGACGAGCATTATCTGCAAAATAAACAGCAATATCAGCATGAAAACTATGAAAACAAAATTGTGAAGTCTTTGTAAAAGCCTATACAGTGAAAAGTATCTTCCTAAATTTACAACATATTTTGTTATTCCGATTTACAAAAAGATGATAAGCAGTACTAGTAATTTTACAATTTCCAGTTTGGAATTTTACGACGCACATCATGCAAAATGTTTCTGTTACCCGTACAAGTATTTCACAGCTATGGAAGAAGTCCCCTTAGTTTGCATTTTCAGAACTTACCAGGTAATGAATGTTGTTATCATCTTCTAGACATTTCTCCATTCTTTCGAGTTGATCCAGGGTTAGGAGGGGAATTCCAGGCATATTGCGAGGCTTAGCTAGGTATTTTTCTGTAGGCAAGAGGTGCATTGATAACCTGGCCTGGTTGCTGCTGATGTCTTCAATTTTCTGCTCCATTGAAAACAGTCTTTGTAGGACTGTTGTCTCGAAGGTGCTTTTACCTACAGCCGCTGAAGCCCTTTCACTTGTACATGTAAGAGCTGGAAGTACCATAGTAAAAAAGTTGTTAGAAGGAAGGTGTGGACACAATGCAGCACATTTTTACACAAATATATGATTACCATTACTATTTCTGTCTGACGGAAATCTGGAGGACCTGTTGTGAGGTGCTTGAGAAACTGAAAAAAAAGAAAACAGAAGTAAGCCAACACGGATTAAAATTTTGAGAAATCATTGAAGTATTTTAAAATTTGTACTCACTTGACGGAACAATTTCATCATCAGAATCCTTATCTAAAGACCCAGAATGTTGAGAGACTAAGGGAGATCCTGAACAGAATACAGAAATTAGGGAAAATAAATCAGTAGCACAGTAATTTGTGGCATGACTTTGAAAGAAACAAAATATGTTCTCTTACCATGGATGTGCAAGTCCAACATCTCATCTCCATCATTAAAAGCATTTACATTATTGGGCATGACTCCACGATTTGGACTGAGTGCAGGAAAATTGCTTTCGTCCCCTTCTACTCTACCCGTGGCAACTCCCCTGCTTTCCCCACTGCTCCTCACATTGTCCTGCCCAACTATACAAGCTGACTGAGATCCTACACAGAAACAAGAAATTAGGGAGAAATAATCCTGTTTGACACAACTGGACTGAGGAAAGTGTACATGCCAGATTAATTAATTAGAAAAGTATGATTATGCAACACAGAAACCAAGAGTAAATAACAGCAAAAGGTGACAAATTAACTTACTTGAGTTAGAACGCCTTTCATTAAAAGAGTCAAGAGATTTAAATGATCTTGAGGAGTGTTGATCATCAATAGCAGATTTGCCTTTGTATACTGATGAAGAACCTGCAAAATACCATGTGTATATTTAGAAGTAAAATAACGTAGAGTAAGGAGTTTATAAAATGTTTGTATGCTACTACTCACATGATGTTGTACTTTCAGCAGATTTGGTGACTGATGTAGACTTTACATGTTGAGAGGAATTCAGACTTTGACCGATGTGAGTATGTTGAGAAATGACAGGCATGCTGCTCAAGGTGAAGCTGCTCCTGTGGGGTTGCGTAGATTCTGGGGAAGCTAAGAAAGTGAGGGAGAATTATTGGAAGTGCAAGAAACACAGAAATTTGAGGACTGATACCAAAACGAAAAATCAGATAAACTTACATGAGTCAAAAGGTTCCTCAATAGCAGAAACAGGACTATCACTATCATGCTCTACACTTTCCGTCCCAGGCACAGAAGGAGGGGGGCTCTGATGACTTTCTATATCAGACACTAAACAGTATTTTGAATTAAAAAAATATGATTCAGAAATAAATATAATAAAGAGAAATCACATCAAAAGAGACAAAAACTAAGCTTACTTGAGTTGGGCTGTCTTGAATTAGAAGTACCACAAGAGTTGAAAGGTCCACTGCTAGTTGAGCTAGATGACTTTGAACTTTTGGTGATTGATATGGAACCTTAAAGGCAGAACATAAAGCAATGGGAAAATAATAGCAGTTGATGAGGCTTTCATTAGGAAGTATAAACTAGTAGGAAACATACCCAATTTTAGTGATCTCCTTTCTTCCACCTTTTTCCTTAAGTCCTCAAAATTGTTGGCCTTTGATCCTTTGTCTGATCTGTTAACTGCTTTCTTGGCACTTTTGACATTAGACTCTTCACGGACTTTTCCCACTCTACTTGTAGTCAAAACGCTTACTTGAAAACTCTGTTTTGTGTGAGCATCTACTTGGAAAGAATTTGATGATGTTTTTTGAATACTGGGAGGCGAGGGAATAGTTCTTGCAGGTGCATGGCTTGGCGCAGTTGATAGTTTTGGCCTGCTATCATTTGTGTCAAGAGAACGAAGTCGGGTACTGGGTGCCTTTTTCCTTTTTCCCATCCCAAGTTCTTTTTCAGTTTCATATGTTCTGTTTTCCTTGCGACGCTTGCCCCCTAAGTGAGCATCTAAGTAGACAGCTGAAAATAATAATCCTATTATTAGCAATTATTTTCCAAATTAAAGAAGGACCATGAGCGTATGAGGAAACCTATATTACCATAGCTTTTGATGACTTCACAAGAGTGTGGAAGCCAGGAGGGTACCTCCCCTGGTGGCGTATCCTTGATAGGAGGCGTATGTTTGAGAACTAGGCTCGTTAAAGCCTGTTCTGTTAGGGATTTATTTGGCCAATAGCATTGTAACTGGCCAGAATCAGGACATACATGGAGCCAACTTTTACTAGCCACCTCATACTCCTCAGTGTTGCCTTCAGGTTCCTCATTTGTGAATCGCACCAACACAAACTGAAACAAACAGAAATGAAGTCAGTTAAGTCACAAATAGTCTGATATTTGTTTTTAGGAACTAAAATTTAATAATTAACTATCACCAGCAGGGCTAGATGAGTAATGGTGATGAATGCGAGAGAGGCATAGATACAAATTTATCTCCAACCTCCAGTAGCCAGCACTTGCAAAACACATCATTTAATGAAAATTCCAGGGAAACATTGCTAAGATCCCATACTTGCAAAATATCCAAATCAGAAGAATCAATTGGGTATGTATAAAAATTTTCTTGCTCAATAAACTGTCTACCAACAAAGGTAACTTGATTTCTTCTGTTAATGATATTATCTAGGACCACAACTGCTCCATTTCTTGTCATGAAGTAACCATCTTTACTATTAACTTTATAAGTAACTTTATTTACATTAATTGTCTTGAACTGCTCTTCACCATGGCAATTACGAAGTTCTACTCTGTTTATCACATTTTTTAAAACAACTTCCCTTTGCTGTCCTCTTTCGGAATCCCTCTTCACAATTTGCTCTAAAGGCAAGAAACCAGAACGAAGTGTTTCTTTTAAACTTTTAAGGGCATTTTCATATGGAAAAGCACTGAATTCCTCCAGAGTCCCATGTGCCCTACACTCATCAGCAAGGTGGAGTAATGAGTGGACATTGTAGCTGACAAAGTGGGGACCAAATATTTGAGCTGAATACTCCACAAATGACCTCAGAAAGATTTCAGCATTATCACAGAATCGAGGCAACAGATATGGACTGGCAAGAATATAAACAGCACAATGAAGGAGTAGTAATAATTTGTACACATTTTCATGTAACTTGCCATGAAATGCAACCACAGCATCATACAAGAGTAATCGCCTTAATTCTGTTGCCTTGTACTTGTACCAGTCTTCGAGCTGTCTAGGCTTTCTGTTGAAATCTCTGGGACACGATGACTTCCAATTACAAAGTTGCTGTGATATTTCCTGAATTGAATTAAGAGGCATGTTCCACGGCCCCTCCCATGTGAGAATTGCATCAAGTAAACGGCTAAAGACTCCTTTATACAAAAGATGCATAGTGTCCAAACGGAACTGGGATACAAGCCCAATCTCAATAGGCTCAATGAACAAGAGAGGGGAGCGGCCAGAATGGTGAAGTCGATCTTCTCCATCTCTAAAAGTCTGATCAGTTCGAGCAGTGACCTCAGGCCCAACATCAGCAAAATGGACCCTGCCTGCTGCGTAACCACCATGCACAGTGCACTTCTCGCATGCTCCATATCCCCCGTGTCCTATGCAACACTTGACAAGTGATCGAGCAGGTGCATCAAGTATAAAGTTTCTTATTCTGAAGGGATAATTTTGACGGTTGTAAATATAACCGTTGTTCATGAGGTCTGATAGCTCGACAACAAGCTCACCCAAATATAAATCAATGTCACTTGGATCCTTGTTTCCACAGTAAATGCCAATGATGAATGGATCATCTTCTGACCCCACCAATTTTCCTAGTATGGGCCAAAATTTTTTTGAATTTTTATCTTTTGACAGTGGCAGCCCATCCATATTTAAATCAATTTGAATCACATTATGTGACTGCAGATAATTTTCCAAATTCATTTGATCTAAATTATTTTTGATACCTTTGTACCACAACTTGTAATCTTCAGTCACTAGTATGTCACAGTTTTTCATGGTGGATAAAAGAGTTTTGTAAGACTTGGGCAAATTCGGAAAGACATAACTTAATTTTCCCAGCAATTCATCTAATTTCGACATAGAGAGCACTCCTCCACTACTTCCCCACTCTCTGAGAGCCTGAATGACGTATTGTTCAATTCCATTGATGTCTCTGGGTTGAACATTCTCATTATCATCCTCTAACCCCACACTACCTTCCCCATCACTATTTTCCTCGGAACTGTCTTGAACATTGTCTGGGCCACTCTCTTCCTCGACATCACTCCTAACATTCTCGTGATCACTTTCTTCTTCAGCATTATTTCCAAGATTTTCTTGCACACTGTCGTCACTATCATTATCAGCATCTGCACGACTACCTCCACTTTCCTCACTCTCAATATTGCCACTAGACACACTCTCTTCTTCACTATCACTAAGGACAGGTCTGTTTAAAACAGCATTTCTGAGCTGCTCAACTTGCAGCAGGTTTTCAAGAGCCCTCCCAGCCCTGCGATTTGCCCTCCTCCTAAATCGTCTTCTCTGCTAATAAAACATAGAAACAACTCATTACTTTGTAACCAGCATTTACCAATGTGAATATGTCAAATAGAACTATTCATAATAAAAGTAGATGTAGTAGAAAGCAAAATTGAGTTCTGTCTTTCCGAACTGTCCAGAGTATTGCAACACTCTTTCATCCACCAGGAAAAATTCCACATACTGATGACAGAGTGTTTGAAACTAATGTTTTATATCCAAATAAACTTCGAAATCATCAGTCACATATTGTTATTGAAATAGACCATCATATGCAATATCCCTCAACAATTTTTTAACCAGGGAGAATTAATCACAGAACTGCTATTTTTGGTGCACAGAACGACAGACACCGATTTAGATTAAGGCAAACTAGTTCTTAAAGTAAGTTTGTTCCACTCTGCTCAAAAATT